CTTCTTCTTCTTCTTCTTCTTCTTCTTCTTCTTCTTCTTCTTCTTCTCTGATTTCTGCTGGTGATGTTTTGAATTTTTCACAAGAAAGGAATGAGTTGTTATTTGAAAATTTTAATTAAACGAGTGAAGATTTTGGTAATGTAATTTATAGAATGTGGTCAACTAAATATTTTTGAAAAGTCTTTTTTTTAAAAGTGAATATGATGGGGAAAATATTCCCCAAAATATAATAGTAAGCTTATCCACAGCTCACAAGGAGAAAATATATAGATTCCTTTACTTTCAAGAATTATTCAGAATCTTTTAGCATGACAGAATAGTTACCCCTGCTATATTTCCTCAGGGTTGGCGATCTTTTCTAGCAACTATGAACAGCAACAAAAGTATTATACTATTTTCTGACCATAGTATTTTGTGAAAGAAAAGCCATCCATTAAAATGACATCCTTGTCCTTATGCAAATAAAGATTTAGTAATCCTTTCTTCCTGGTCCAATGGCTTGTCAAGCTACAACAGCATACCCTGAGTTGATTCATCTTTTCTCCATATCATGAATTGTCCCCAGCTACCATCATGCCAGGTCTTCAAATGTAACTACCAGGCTTACGTTTCGCTTTTGATATCAGACAATCTATTTTCTTTATATACTGAGAAACATTTAAGAGCCTCAAAAGAGCCTCACAAAAGCTCTCTTTAAGCACCCAGAGGTACTGGGATGGTCAGCCTGGGAAGGAAGGAAGGCTTCCTTAAGTATTTTTCTATATCTAATTGTTGCTGCTGATAAAACAGTGAAGCCTCTTACCCATCAGGGCCATCCATTAATTCCTCTGAGTCACTTTTAAAATAGAGTTGTAAAAGAGAGAAAACTATTCTTAAACCTCTCCCCTCCCACCTCTTTTGTATTTGCAGAAAAGCCACAAGGTGGCTCTTTATCACTTTATTTTTTGTGCTTCAATGAGAGTCAGGAAGGTCATGACTTCTCAAGCATATCACCTCTTAGTTCACAAGGAGTGTTTCATATGAACTGGTTGATTTCCTGGAGGCAAAGCATAAGGTTGATGGGACGAGAGATATGAGCCTCTGAGGTAAAAATGAGATACTGAAACTAATTGAGATCCATGCTTGACATATACAGTACAAATGGTATAATCGTATTTGTAGTGCACATTACAGCAGGATCTAGAGTTTGCAGGAGAATGAGCCTTGTTTTACAAGTTGTAAATAGAGAGTAATATGTAGAATATTGATTATTTGAAGGATTATTCTTAAAACTGGTAGGTAATGAAAATAAAATGGTGTTTCGCCAAAATGTTGGTGGGGAAAAAGACAGCAATTTAAAAAATTGCAGGGGCTGTACACTGAAAATAATAAGCCACTATACCAAAGTTTTTACATAGGCCAATATTCTACCTACATAATAAACCAGTTGTGATTTTGGGTAGATTTGGCCAATATGTATTTGCAAAAGCAAGGCAATGTACTTTTCTCGTAAGATTCAGCTATTTAAACTGGGTTATGGCTTAAAATAAAAAGTTTTGACATACTTATGCTCTGGTCATAATTAAAGTGCTGTGAAGGAACTTGAATGAAAAGCTATAAATCTGAATTTTATCTTAGTTCCTGAGTCCAAAGCCAAGCATCATCTAATCAGATATTGGTTGACTAAAGCACAAATCGAACAAAAGGTTATTGGACAAAGTCAGAGGTCAAGCTTTTTTGCAGTTTGTCATTATGGTTTAGTATTTTGCCAGCAAGCTAAATGTCCATTGAATCAAGCATGGGAAAAAGAGAGCTGTTTGTTTTCTAATCAAGAAATCAGATTGTAAACAAATGCCAGCTATTTTTTTAAAAATGAAAATAACTAATTATTCATAAATACAATTCCATTTCAAAACTCCATAACGTGGGAACAACCTTTTGGGAAATGCATAAACTGGCAGATAGTATTCATATAATTTGCCTAAATTTGTATACACATAGACATAAGGATTTGCTCAGTTTGTTGAAAATTTTGATTTCTTTCATTCTGTGGTTTCTCAGCCGTGTTTATGGATTCCTAGTTATCTCCAGTGGTTTAGGATTAACATGAGGATGTGACTGCTTGGGCTGGAAATTTGGAAAGTGGAAACAGAAGAAACATGGAGCCAAAAATGCTCTAGTAAAAGTGAAATATGTTTTAATAGAGACAATTGCATTTAATTATTTAGTTAAATGATATGAATAAAATTTGATAATGTACCCAGGCTATTAAGATAGATATAGAGCATTTCTGCTAGAATATTTTTTTTACTTTGTTAATCTGTCTGAATGCATGCTTGGAAAAAAAATATAATTTGTGTTCTGTCAATTTGCTAATTCAGGAATAGCCAACTGGCATCCAGTTTGATCAGGCAGACTGACAGATAATGCACTATTCTTACTGCAGAAATCATATTCAGGAATATATGTTCTTTGGTTATTCATAGACCTTGATGACAAGGCCACAGAAATGTTAAGCACAGTTGGATTGCCTGCTAGGTGGCTACATCTGCTCAACAATCTAATAAGAACTGCTATAGTTTATAGAGAATAATAACTTTCAGTTTTTAAGTGAATCTTGCCATGGATGTCCACACGATTCCTTCCCTCCCCCACCTAAGCTAAGGATCAGAAATGAATTTAAATATTTACGGGTATCTGAATCTTTTAAAAAAATCTAATTCAGATATATTATAAAGTAGAACCCTAACCTTTGACTAATATAAATATTATTGCATCAAATATTTTCAAGTCCTAAGATTGTAGCTTGTCACCCAGTGTCCTGTCAACAGAGAAGCCTAGGCAATTGAGAATCCCAATTGGCTTCCCTTAATATCATATGTGTATTTTTGCAAATGCTACTTTGAAGCCTGTCACCTATTTATTAGAAATATCTCCATTATTTTGACTTTGGGATAATGGTATACCAATATTCAATATGTGTCTGAATATCTATTCAATCCACTAATGTATCACTTGTTTATTCTATGTATTTAACATCTAAAACAAGGGGCTTCACATTTGGCAAGTTTAAGACTTGTGGACTTCAACTCCCAGAATTCCTGAGCTAACATGACTGGAGGAGGAATTCTGGGAATTGAAGTCCACAAATCTTAAAGCAGTCAAGTTTGAAAGCCCCTGATCTAAAATATTACGCTTATTTATAACTTGCTAATGAAGTATGATTCAGAAACTGAACAAGTCAAAGATTTTATTATTAAATGGATGTTATCAAATGGACATAGAATGCAGACAGGAGAATTGTTATAGAACAATAGGAAAACTAATGGAAGATAAGTGTTACATTTATTGCAAATATTACACTAAGAGAAAATTGCTATACCATACCATACCATACCATACCATACCATACCATACCATACCATACCATACCATACTATATAACAAATTAGCAAAATAGATAATTCATACTAAAAAAGAATGTGCTGAAAATACAAAAATACAATAATGTTTTGGTTTTTTTAATATAAAGGCAATTTTGTAACACTCAACAATTCTGGGAGATAATTCATCATAAAATGAATACATACAATACAGACTTCCTGCCCTCTGTTTTTATGTTATGCATTCATTACCTGTGGTGGCATAGTGATTAGAATGCAGTATTGCATGCTGACTCTGCTCACTGCTAGGAGTTCAATCCCCATGGGGTCAAGGTTGACTCATCCTTCCAAGATCGATAAAATGAGGACCTAGATTGTTGGGAGCAATATGCCAATTGTGTAAACACTTAGAGAGTGCTGTAAAGCACTATGAAGTGATATATAAGTCTAAGTCTAAGCTATTGCTTTTAAATAGAATGCATTATAAATTGTATATTCTAAGTATAATTCTTACCATATTATCTACCTTTGCTAATTATTGAATATTGATTCAATTTTAATAATTGTTTTAAAATGCTGAACTGATACAAAGTCATTGTTATATACAGCACTTATCTAATGTTTCCTCTTTGTTCTTGGTTGTGCCTTCAAATGCCTCTTATAATAAAAGTCATGTATAAAGTGGTAACTGAATGCATAAAAATAAAGAATAGGATGGAACTTCCAAGAATAATTCATGCCTCTAGTGGGTATGATTAGACAAAATTGATCTTCTGTCACTTTAGTAAATGTGAGAATAGAATTACTTAGAATTATTATAGCATTTGGTGGAGGTGTAAATAATATATTTAATTTACTAATGAATATTGAGATTAGTACATCACATTAAAAATGAGTAAGGATGAATCATTTGAAACCACCAACTCAGATTGCTAGTGGCATTTATCATGTTTGCTATTCCTAATGAGAGTCTACTGAAAACTTAAACTTTGGCAGGAACTGGAATGAGAAAAAATTGTATGAAAGAATGGGATCTATCATCTGTTTGATGGCTTGTAACTTTCTTTCCTATCCTAATTATTATATATTACACTTGGATTGTAATATGTTTTGCCTTGCTACTAGTTTTGTAGACGAGGGCAAAACATTGATCCCTTCTCACAGCCAACCCTCAAATTATAAATTATAGTGATGTGTAAACAGCAGAAACAAAACATAATATGTATGTACACGTTCAAAGGCTAATTGAAACCCCCTGGGTCATACTGACATATTGAACTATGTTCCCTGATGTATGATTTAGATATTTTATTTTTCAGTGAAAGAGTGGGACTAAAT